CCTGGTTGGCCAGGAACTCACAGAGATCTGTGGGCCTCAGCCTCCCTAGTTCTGGGATTAAAGGGGCTCCTTCTTCCTTCCTTCCTTCCTTCCTTCCTTCCTTCCTTCCTTCCTTCCTTCTTTCCTTCCTTCCTTCCTTCCTTCTTTTTTCTCTCTCTTTATGTGTATAAAGCGTAGTTGCATTATGCATGCCTGGTGGCATCAGAAATCAGAAGAGGGTGTTGGATCCCCTGGAACTGGAGTTACAGACAGTTGTGGGCCCATATGTGGGTGCTAGGAACTGAACCTGGGCCCTCCATAAGAGCAATATATGCTCTTAGCTGTGGAGTCATCTCTCCAGGCCCTAAAGGAACTATTTCCTTGTAATCTGTAGATGGAAGTTCCTGTTCCACCTGGTACCACAGTCATTCAGTCCCAAATAAACACACAGGCTTATATTAAATATAAACTGGTTGGCCTATTGCTCAAGCTTATTACTAACTAGCTCTTATAAATTAACTCATAATTCTTAAGTATGTTTAGCCATGTGGCTTGGTACCTTTTCTCAGTAAGGCATTCTCACCTTTCTTCCTCTGTGTCTGGGTTGTGACTGCGTCTCTGCCTTTCCTCTTCCCAGAATTCTCCTAGTCTGGTCGCCCCACTTATACTTCCTGCCTGGCTATTGGCCAATCAGTGTTTTATTAAACCAATATGAGTGACAAACCTTTACAGTGTACAAGAGCATTATTCCACAGCAGTAACCAGCTACTGCTTAGGTATTGCTGATAACAGAATGAGGCTAAAGAAGGACATGTTAGTTCCTTTGGCATAGTTGTAACCACAATGCCAGACAGGATGACTCCAAGAAGAACGAGGTTTAGCCTGACTTGTGATTTCAGAGGCTTCAGCCTATGCTTGCATAGCCCCACAAACTTTGGAAAAACATCATGGTATAGGGAACGTGCTGTTGACAAGCTTCCTCACCATGTGGTGGAAGCAAAAGGTAGAGACTACAGAATGGGTTATTCCCCCCATGAACTTCTTCTTGTTCCCAAAGTTTCCACCACTTTCAGAGGTAGAGCTTCCAGGCAGGACCAAGACCAAACTTTGTATCCTGTGGGGAGCATTTTACATTTCAACCAAAACTCAGAAGTCTGTGCTCAGCTCTGTCATTGAAAGCAAGAGCAGGTGACAGCGTAGGTCTGTCATCTGAGCCTGCCAGGCACAGCAGGACCAGGGCCACTTCCAGATAATCAAGGTAGATCCGGATTCGAGCTGATTGTCTTGTCTCTGTCAAAAGGAGATTCCTGTGCAGATATTAATTCCCCTGGGGCTGGAGAGGTGAGCAGGCAGCGGAAGGCAGCAGGTAACCAACTATAACTCTAGCTTTAGGGAGTCTGATGCCCTCTTCTGGACCATGTGGGCACAGCACTCATGCTTGCATGGACATCCCCACCCCCTCCCCATGCACACACATACATATAATTTAAAAAATTTAAAAATTGGGGCTGGAGAGAGGTTAAGAGTGTTTACTGCTCTTGCAGAGTATCTGGATTTGGTTCCCAGCAGTCATGTGGTGGCTCATAACCCTCTCTAACTCCAGTCCCAGGGGATGCAATGCCCTCTTCTGACCTCTCTCTGATGGTACCCAGCATGCACGTACTGCACAGACATGCATACATGCAGGCAAACACTCGTATGCATAAAACAAGATCTTGGGGGGGGGGAGGGAGGAATTTTGAGACAGGGTTCCTCATTGTAGCCTTAATGGTTCTGGAACTCACTTTGTAGACCAGGCTGGCCTCATACGCACAGAGATTCTCCTGCCTCTGCCTCCCAAATGCTGGGATTAAAGGCGTGCACCAGCTCTCCCAGTTCATCTTCATTTTTACTATGTTTTTAACTTATGCCTTTTATTTTATACTTTTTTTGGCTTGTTTTTAGGTCGTTTTTTTTGTTTGTTTAAGCATTTATTTATTTGAGGGGGTGCCATCTCACACACACGGGGTGCTCAGAGACCTTTCAGGAGTCAGTTCCCTCCTGCCACCACGTGGGTCTCGGGGATTGAACTCAAGTCTCCAGGCTCTGTGGCAAGTGCTCTTTTTTGTCTTTGAGGAACTGGGGGTAGGGAAGCAATCCCTGATCCTGTGGCCTCTGTGAATGGTAAGGGAGCACTCTAACCACTAAGCCACACCCTAGCAGCTTCTTTTTTAATTTTGAAATTACATTTTAGTTATTTAATTAGAGTGTGTTGTGGTGGTGGTGGTGGTGGCGAGGGTGGGGGTGTATATGGGTGTGATTCCTCAGGCTGGCCTCCATTTCACAATCCTCCCAGCCCCATTTCCTGAGTGCTCGGATTATAGGTTCATGCTGAGGTGACTCTTGGAGTTCCCACAGGGAGGGAGTGCTTTGAGGTCTTGTCTAAGGAAATTCATCTTGGTTCTAGAAGTCATGGAACCCTACCTAGTCTTTAAAGATCCTATGGGTGGGAGAAGCCAAGATGTAAGGCGGGAGCCCAGGCATCAGAGGAGACAGGAGTCCTGCCCCTTGTCTGAGTATGCACAGACCTTTCTGCTAGGCCTGACTGCGTCCTCAAGTTCCTTTATCACACTGCTGTGTCTGTGGTGTTCAGAGGTATGGAAGTACCCTAGCTTTAGGTTTGCTCCACTCACTCCTGGGAGGGTTTCTGGAGGGCTCCCCTGCCGGCTGACAGAGCTATCTACAGAGGCCCTTTCTCTTCTAATTGAGCGACCAGCTTTCTGAAAAGCACACATCTGGAGTCCCTGAGCAGAGCTAAGCCAGGATAGGAAAAGCAAGGCTGTAGGCCTGCCTAGTGGGGCACAGAGCCAAGGGCTTAGTCTCAGAATTGGATTATTAGAATCTAGAGCTCTCAGCCCTGCTGGCCTCTGGGACATGTGGATTACCCAGGCATCTGGCTGGGGCCCACAGGCCTTCCCAAGTTTCCTGCAGGTCTGAGAACAAGTATCCTCCCTCTGCTGTGACACGGGGGGGGGGGGGGGCACAGAATGCTCCATCTACCTCCATGCTCCCACACATGCCTGGAAACACACCAGTGCACGTGTATCTGGAACTTACCATGGAGTTCTGTGGGCCACAGACCATAAGCATCAGAATCTTCTGAGGTCTTGTTAAGGATGGAAAATCATGGACCTCACCCCAAACATGGCATCAGAATCAGAGGTGGGTCCAGATCTGTGACCTAGTGAATCCTTCAGGTAGGCCAGTGATACGACTCGGTGGGTAAAAGTTCTTGCTTCCAAGCCCAACAGCTCGAGTTTGAGGACCAGGAACCACATGGTAGAAGAAAACTGACTCCCCAAAGTCATCCTCTGACCTTCATACACATGCACTTCCCCCCACACACAATAAATAATAAATTAATTTTTAAAAATGTGATTTTTTTTTTCAAGACAGAGTTTCTTTGTGTAATTCTGGCTATCCTAGAACTCACTCTGTAGACCAGGCTGACCTCAAACTCACAGAGATCCTCCTGCCTCTGTCTGCAGAGTACTGGGATTAAAGGCCTGCGCCACCCCTTACCCCCGCTTGAGGTGATTCTTTAGCGTGCTGGGGGGGGGGGACAAAGGTATGGAGGACGCTAGCCATACCCATACAGACACCCAAGTGTGCACCAAGCCTGCCCGAGACTCTAGACAGCTCCTCACAAAGATCTCCTTTGAGGTCCTTCAGCCTATCAGCTGTGGAAACTGACTCAGTGTGCCACACTGCCAGGTGCCACAGTTCCATGGCAGTCGGCAAATGACGGTCCCTAAGGATACACGAGCCAACCCCTAGTGTGCACTAGCCTTGTTCTTTCCCAGCCTCACATAAACTGGAGGAAACAGGTGCGAAGAGGGCACACCACTACCCAGCGCCACACGGTAAACAAGCCCAAGGCCTGACCGCTACACAGCTGCTGTCCCTCTCAGCGGTTCTAGCCAGCTGTGTGCACACTCTGGATTTCCTCCAGGGCAAAGCTCTTGACATCACTTCCTAAGGAGGTATTTCTCACCTCCCTAGGGTAGGCCAGGCTGCCGTATGCCCCGCTTAGGGTCTGCGTATGCTTCCTTCATTGCAGGGTCACGCTCTGTAGTCATACGGGAACATGCTTCCACCACGCCTGTCTTCCACAGCGGCCTGAAATCTCCCGGAAGTCAGGAGGTGGGACTGCCCTACCCGGCGATTCTCCAGTACTTACCCTTTTCTTACGCAGCCGTGTCTCTCCTGTCCCCCGTGTCAGAGGGAATAAGGGGGCTGGAGACCTGACTCCATTGGCAGAATGCTTTCTTTGTATGGTGAAGCCCTGGCTTTGCCCCTCAGCCCTGCATAAACCAGGGGCCATAATGTGCTCCAGTAACACCAGCACGCCGGCATCTGGGGGTGAAGGATCAAAGTGAGGGCCAGAGCTGGAGAGATGGCTCAGGGGTTCAGCGCACAGACTGCTTTTCCAGAGGACCTGGGTTCCATTCCCAGCACCCACATGGAAGGTTATCATTGTCTGGTAGCTCCAGTTCCAGGGGATCCAACCCCCCTCTTCTGGGTCCCTGGGCACCAGGAACAAACACAGTGCACAGGCATACATGCTGGCAAAACACCTGTACTTCAAAATCAAATAATTTTTTAAAAAAATTCAAGGTTGTTCTTCGCTTAGTGAGAGGCCAACTAGAGACTCTGTCAAGACACAAAGGACCAGGTTGTATTTGGGGCAGCTGCTCAGCTAACCACAGCAGTCTCTTAGGAGCTCAGGCGAATCTCTGTGAGTTTGAGCCCTGGTCTAGAGTTCCAGGACACCCAGGGCTGTTAAATAGAGAAACCTTGCCTCAAAAAAATGCCACATTCTGGCCTATGTAGTATATGAGACTAGAAATTTCTGGGTACAAAACGGTTACTCAGTCAATATATGTGGCAGGCAAGAAATTCCATCCAATACTGGGCATGCAGGAGGTTCTGGGGAAGGGTGAATATCCTCTAATGGGGCCCAAAGCAAAGAACACCTTGGCTGACATTCTCGTTTTTTATTGGTTCTGAGATCAAAGGGCTAGGCGAGCTGGGACGGGCATAGAGCTCAAGAGGGCGCTGAAAGGCTCTGCCCCGGGGCAGACATGCTGTGTGGGGTCTGCTGGCGGGCTCCCTGGCCCACCCAGCCAGTCAGCAGCGACTGGGCACATGGCACTTGGCGCCTTGCATGTCCTCTAGCGGCTTGGCACTGTGGCCTCCTCGCTGGTGGGCGCCCCTTTCCAGTTGCAGGAGTTGTGAGTCTTTCACAGTGCGGAGGGGTGGGGATCCGGGGTGGGCACCTCCCCGGGGTGCAGGCAGGCCCCATCCGCCAGTACATCCTGGGCTCTGGGCATCTACTGCGGAGCGAGCGAGGCGCGCTCGGCTCTTTTCCCCGGAAGTGGGAGTTGGCAGTCCTGGAGAAGGCCTGGAGGCCTCAGCGGGACATCATCCGGACGAACTCTGGGAGGGAGACAGGAACGGGTGGAGACAGTGCCAGTCAGGAGCCAGTACGGAACACTACCACCGTCCTACCACCGTCCTTCGGACCTTATTGCCCTGGCTTCTAGGCTGCTCCTCCCCCACCTCCACGCTGCATCTTTGTAAGGCAGCTCAGTCTGCAGAAGAGGGAAGAGGTGTTCCGGGAAGGACTCTCACTACTGGGTCTTGGAAAATAAACAGAATTTCACTCAAGGGTGGGCAAGATGGCTGAGGAGGTAAGGGCACTTGCTGCCAAGCCCAAAGACCTGAGTTTGAGCCATGGGATCATTTGATGAAAGAAAAAAAAAAAAAAAAACCCTGCAAGTTATCCTCTGACCTCCACACTCATGCCATGGAACGACACACATATATTCTAGATGGTTGGATGGATGAATGGGCAGACACAATTAAATCAATTTAACCTAAGTGGAAAATAAAGTGAACAGCACCTGGCACAGAGAACAGCATGTTCGCAGGAGGGTTTCACAGGCTAACATAGCTCGGATAGTTCAGAGTGAAGGAATGGTAGACACTGTGCCTGGGACAGTGAGCTGTGGTCAGATGTCACAGGCTAAGGTCAGGCCGAAGAGTATGGGCCTCAGAGGACAGACAGCATGAGTGAGTGAACAGACAGACAGAGGGGGCGGACAGACACAAGGATGAATGGGTGTATGAACAGATGGATATAAAATCGATGGGGAAATGACTGAACAGAGAGCTCAATGGAAGTACGGGTAGAAGTACAGGCAGCTGGAAGGAAGAGTGTGACTATAGGAACAGAGCACAGAGGTGCGGGCCGACCGAGGTGCGGGTGGACGGAGGAGTGGGCGGGCAGATGGGGGAGTGGCCGGGCGGATGGAGGAGTGGGCAGACTGAGGGAGGAGTGGGCGGATGGAGGAGCGGGCAGACTGAGGAAGGAGCGGGCGGAAGGAGGAGCGGGCGGATGGAGGAGCGGGCGGATGGAGGAGCGGGCAGACTGAGGAAGGAGCGGGCGGAAGGAGGAGCGGGCGGATGGAGGAGCAGGAGGACAGAGGTGTGGACCGGGACAAAGATACTGAGATGGATGCGAGGGCGGATGGAGAGCAGAATGAACGGAAGGATAAATGCGTGGACCAACGGTTGTATGGATGACTTTAGAGATGATGAAAAACTGAACAGGCATCTGGACAGATGAAGATACGAGCGAGTGAGAGGTACGAAAGGTGGCCGAGTAGATGGATGCAGGAGCGGGGCGGGGGATGGGGGTGGATGAGTGTACACACAGGTAAGACGGAAGAAAGGCAGGGAGGAAGGGCTGGGTGCACCGCAGTCTCACCGCGGTTTCCAGACCCCTCTACCTTCAAAGTCCACTCGTCCATCTCCATTGAGGTCCACATCGCGGATAATCTCCTCGATGTCTCTGTGTCCCACCTGATGACCCAGCAGCTTCCTCATGGCCTCTCGCAGCTCACTGGTGCTGATCTCCCCATCACCATTGGTGTCGAACTGGAGAGTGAAGGAGGCACAGAGACTGCATGGATGGGCAGCAACCTCAAGGCTGAGCAGTGGCCCCTAGGCCACGGTTCCTTTTCTAAACAAGTTCCCTCCCGTGATCCGGGGCCCAGGGATTCAGAACCCTTCAAAGTCATTCTGAGACTGGGACTCGGCCTGCCCACCCCTGCCTGTCAGCAGCCGTCACTCACCTCCCGAAAGGCATCTCTCAGTTCCTTTACACCAATCATATCTGCTGTCTCTGCCAGGAGTTTAGGTCCCATTAGTTCCACAAAGTCATCGAAGTCCACATGGCCGCCCACTGGAGCAAAGAGAATGGCGTGGGTCATCCTCGACCTACCCACTGCCCTCTAGGTAACCTCTGTGGTCGCCCCCATCTCTAGGCCCAGGATGTGACCAAGGCAAGGAGGACAGACCACAGACAAGGGGCTTGTCACAGAATGACTCGAGGAGTGGCCAGGGAGTGAGAAAGGAGCAGTCGACAAAAAGGAAACGGACAGGAGAAAGAAGCATTGGGTCGCAGATCGGGGTGAAGAACTTCGATGGAGAAGATGCTTTCGGAGGAAGGCTAAGAGGACAAGATTTACGGGTACCTGCTCCATGTGCCCCAAGCCTTACTTTACTTTAGCTGTGCAAATACAAATTCAACTCCCAGGTGACTCAGGAAGGAGACTGGGCACCTACTCGCTGACTACAACTTTCAGCAGGGACTGAGCGCAGCACAGGGAACACGGGGCTGGAGGTGGGAGGGCTAGGGGACTCCCCATAACATTTATTTTTGAATGTTTACCTATGTTTAGTGTATGCAGGTGTATGTCCATCTGTAAAGGCCAGAGGCCAATGCCAAGCATGTTCCTTATTTTCTTTTTTTTCTTTTTTTTGCTTTTTTGAGACAGGGTTTCTCTGTGGTTTTGGAGCCTGTCCTGGAACTAGTTCTTGTAGACCAGGCTGGTCTCGAACTCACAGAGATCCGCCTGCCTCTGCCTCCCGAGTCCTGGGATTAAAGGCAAGCGCCACCATCGCCCGGCCATGTTCCTTATTTTCGAAGCAGGGTTTCTCACTAACTCATAGCTCACTGATTCAGGAACTAGGTCAGCAAGCCTCAGCTGTCTCCATCTCTCCAGCCCTGGAATTATAGGTTCATACTGCCTCTCTTGACATCATCACCACCATCACCATCATCTTCATCAAGACAGAGTCATGTGTATCCCAGGCTGGCCTCAGACTTGCTATGTAGCTGAAAATGACCTTGAACTTCTTTTTAAACATTTTTAAAAAAAGATTTATTACTTTATTTTATGTGTATGAGTTTTTCACCTGCCTGCATGTCTGTACTCCATGTGCATGCCTGGTGCCCACAGAGCCTGAAGGGCTCAGAGGCTTCTGGAGCTACAGTGATAAGCCACCACGTAGGTTCTAGGAATCGAACTTGAGTTCTCTGGAGGAACAGTCAGTGCCCATAACTGCTGGACCATCTCTCCAGGCCTCATCTAGAGCTGACCCTCTCTCTCTATCTCCCCAGTGCTGACTGAAGCAGTCTGTGCATCTGTGCTCTCAGCACTGGGGAGCTGGAGACAGGAGGATCCCTAGGGCTTGCTGGCCAATCACTCTAGCCAAACCAGGGCTTTGAATATGCGAGACAAATCACTCTACCAACTGAGCCATTCCCTGTCCCCTATATCAACTCTTTTTTTTTTTTTTTTTCAAGACAGGGTTTCTCTGTGTAGCTTTGAAGCCTGTCCTGGAACTTGCTCTGTGGACCAGGCTGGTGTCAAACTCATAGAGATCTGCTTGTCTCTGTCTCTCAAGTGCTGGGGTTAAAGGTGTGTGCCACCACCGCCAGCCTTCTATAGCAACTTGGGTGTGTTTACACTGTAGTGCCCTGGGCAGCAGTTGGCGTGAGTCTATCCTGTGTGGGCCCCTTCCCACGGCCCTGCTCCCTCTTGTACTTTCCTTCCCTTATTTAATAAATGCCTCGAACCTAGATCCCTGTTTCTGGAGAACCCAGATAAAGATAGAGGAGCTCATAATGCTAACAGCACCCTCTGACTTCTTACTGTGAGCCAGGTTTTAGGCTGTTACTCGCCTATCCCCTAACTTACTTCTCCTGTTTCATTACAAGCCTGTTTTACATGGGAGGAAACTGAGGTTCAAAAGAGAAGTGGCTTGAACTGGGCCCCAGAGCTGGATACAAAACTTGGTGCCAGGCCTGTGTGACCTGGAGGACGGGGACTCACGGTTCATGTTGATCTGCTGGGACAGCTCAATGAGTTCCATCTCAGTGGGCATATAGCCCATGGTACGCATGCAGTTCCCCAGGTCTCGGCAGTTGATATAGCCGTCCTTGTCCTTGTCGAATTCTCGGAAGGCCTCTCGAAGCTCTGGGGAAACGAGCAGGGGCAGATGTGGTTGGAGAGAGGACCCCAAGACGTCTCAGGTACAGACAGCCCAGGGCCAGCTCACAGAGGTAGACCCTGGAGGCCTCTAGGGCTCTTGCTTGCCCAGTGTGCCCTGCTTTGTGCCCGGGACTCTTCCCACCAACACCTAGAGGCAGGTGGCTCTCTGTGAGTTCAAGGCTGGCCTATTCTACATAGTGAGCTGCAAGACAGCCAGGACTAGCAAGAGGAACCCTGTTTAAAAAAAAAACAAAACAAAACAAAAAACAGCCGGGCGGTGCTGGCGCACGCCTTTAGTTCTAGCACACGGGAGGCAGAGGCAGGTGGATCTCTGTGAGTTCGAGACCAGCCTGGTCTACAGAGTGAGTTCCAGGACAGCCAGGACTACACAGTGAAACCCTGTCTCTCTGTCTCATAAAAAAACAAAACAAAACAAAAAAACCAACAATAACGAAAACAAAACCCACCCCACCTTCCAGTGGAGACGAGCAGCCCTTTCCCTGAGGGCCTGATTTACCTTCGATCTCCTCTGGCCGTAAGGATCTGTCCTGAAACAAGAGAACAGGTCACATTAGCAGCAGCAAGGGACCTAGAATTCACAAGATGCCCATCCAATGGGGGCCATCCAAGTGGCAGCAGGCTCTAGGTGGGAAGGGATAGGAACTGAGCAGAGGTCTTTCTGGACTTTGATGGGGAAAGAGAAGCAGGTCCCCCAAGTCTTAGAGTCATGGAAGTGTTGACAGAGGAGTCCCAAACCCAACAGTCCCCATAGAAACGGGGCCACCAAGGCGCTGCACCCTTTTCCAGACACAAGAATGAGCTGGGAACAAAGCTGGTCCAGAGGCGGAAACCTGTAAATAAAACAGGGCCAGGGGAAGTCACCACCCAAGGACACAGGAGGAGCCAGGCGTCAGAAGCGAGCAGGACAGTGGGAGATAGGGGACCACACAGGTAGCCCCAGTAGGAGAACAGGAGATTTAGGTTAGATGAGGAAGAATTGGAGCTGTGTCCAGCATCCTGGATACTGTCCCCACCATTCCCCAATGTGTCCACATGTCTATACCCTGCCCATTACAGGACACAGCATAGGACCCGGGACAGCTAGTGTCCAAAGCAAGCATCTGCAGCCCCCAGCAGAGCCCGTATCTCCATAGGGAACCACAGAAACTTGGCATTAAAACTGGTACCAGAGAAATCTCCAAAAAGCAAATTTAGGGAGACACGGAGAAGGGTCCTGATGGTGACATCCATCACCCCAGGTCTGCCAGGGAAGGAGACAGACAGGCACAGAACAGATATGGGTACCCATGTTCCAGCTCTCTGCCTTCGGATGGGAAGAGTACGAGGCAGGTCTGTGACCCTAAGGAGGCTCACAGCAGGAACAGGGACCCATATCATTAACACAGATGTATAGAGATGCCGTGCTGAGCATGAGGCAGATCAGCTGTGCACCACGGCTGTTTCGGTCAGTGGGGCCAATGTGGGTGGAGACAGTGGCGCCCAGAGACAGTGGCTCCCGGATACAGGCACCCAGTCTGATGATCTTGTCCAGAGGGAACAGTTGTATTGTTCAAAGTGTGTGTGAGTTTGGAATGAGCAGGCTATAGATTTCCCAGGTCATCCCAGGGGGATTTCTAGCTGAGGGGAAAGAGTTACTTGAAGGGAGTGTTGTCTAAAGGACAGTACTGCGAGGATTTCCCCTTAAAGGCTGACAGACCGTATGTGGCGCAAGGGTCACTCCTGCTCCCAGACAGAAACATATGTTCCTGGACATTCCTGGGTGTGTCCGTGTATTATACCACCAGTAAGTGAAAATAAGCGAGTATAGTCATCTCTTACTATCAGTGGGGGATTGATTTCCAGAAACCCCAGGCATGCCAAAATCCAAAGATGCTCAAGTCCTTTACATAAAATGGCATGCAATTTGCATATAATTTGCATACCTCCTCTGGCATACTTCAAATCATCTTGAGATGACTTATTCTATTTATATAATGCAAATGCCATGCAAATAGTTGCTATGTCGTATTGTTTAAAAAATGAGGACAAAAAAATCTATGTGCAGGTACAAGGTTTTATCTTTTACTTAAAAATTTTTGATTTATTTTTATTTGATGTATATGAGTGTTTTTCCCACATGTGTACATGTGCTCCACCTGCAGGCTGGTGCCCTAAGTGGCCAGAAGAGGACATCAGATCCCCCACATCTGGAGTTGCGGTCAGTTGTGAGCCTCAGGTGATTTTGGGAACTGAATTTAGGACCCCTGCAAGAACAGTAAGTGCTTGTAACTGCTGAGCAATTTCTCCAGCCCTAGATAAAAAGTTTTTTTTTTTTTAACATTTGTGGTGTGTGTGCATGTGTGTGTGTATGTGTGCATTTGTGTGCATGTGTGTGCATGTGTGTGCATGTGTGCATGTATATGTGTGCATGTGTGTGCGCGTATATGTTTGTATGTGTGTGTGTGTGCATGTGCGTGTGTGTGTGTAGGTCAGAAGAAAACTTATAGCAGTTGATTCTTGCCTTCGACCCTGTGAGTTCTGAGAACTGAACTCAGGTCTTCTGTCTTGGCAGCACCTTTACCTGCAGAGCCATCGCACCAGCCTCAGACACCAATTTTAAAAATTATTTCTTGCCAACCAGCACTTGGGAGGCAGAGGCAGGTGGATCTCTGAGTTCGAGGCCAGCCTGGTCTACAGAGTAAAGACAGGGAAAGCCCAGGAAAGACAGGGCTACACAGAGAGACCCTGTCTCGAAGATAAATAAATCAAATCATTTCTTTTTTAAAAGTTTTTTTGTTTTTTAAGTATTTATTTGTTTGTTTATTATGTATACAGTATTCTTCCTGCGGGCCTCATTACAGATGGTTGTGAGCCACCATGTGGTTGCTGGGAATTGAACTCAGGACCTTTGGAAGAGCAGGCAATGCTCTTAACCGCTGAGCCATCTCTCCAGCCCATCAAATCATTTCTTAATCTACTGTTTTTTAATCCCCAAATGTGGGGACCCCAGAAAATGGGGAACTGACTGTATGCATCTGTACACAAGTGTGCAAAGTAGACTCAGTGGGACAAGCTGCTTCACTAGAGTTCACTTCCCATCCCAAACCCTAAGCAGCTTGCTGCTGTTCCAGGGCCAAGTTCTGCAGGTCTGGGGGAGGAAGAGTACACTGCAGACTCTTCCACTCTGCCCCACTGTGCTCCAGACTTCCAAGGGGAGGCAAAGCAAGGCACTTCCTCTCAGTGAACCCGCAACAGCAGCCCTGGTGGCTGTTCCCAGGCTCACCCAATGGCCCCAACCCCATGCAGGGCAGTGGAGGAACATGTATGTGTAGGGTTACACACTGAAATATGCACTAATCCTGCAGGGGTGGGCAGGAAGCATTGGGAACATACATAGTTCCTTCCCAGATTGTGCAGTTTGAGAGAAGCCCCCAGAACCTAACGTCAGACCGGCTCAGGTGCGAAGCTCGTAGCTGCTACCGCCTAGCTGAGGATCACTCCCATTCTCTAAGCCCCCGAGCTGTAACACGGCTCTGTAACAGTACTTACCTCACAGGCCTTTATGTGCGTTCCTCAAGGCAAGTATTCAGCACGTGGAATTTAATCAGTGCAATCTACAAATGTTTGTATCCACGACATTCTCATTACCTGCTTCCCTGTGGCAACTCAGACCTGTAGGAGGCTATTCAGTACAGCAGCCACCGACCACACATGGCTACTTACATTTGAGTTGGAGGGCTGAGGAAGAGTTCAGGATAGAACATATGCTTAGCACATACAAGACCGTGAGCTCAATCCTCAGCAAGAATGGCTTTTAATGAAAATAAAATAAAAATGAATAATTCTGTTCATTAGCTACATCCCTAGAGGTCACTAGCCACATGTGATCAGGGCGACTACAATGACTATCACGGGATAGGATAACAGGAGAGCATCTGAGTACACAGAATTGCTGGTAAGAGCACAGAATCTGCAGAGCCGGGCTATCCGCGTTTGAATCCTACCTCTGGCACCGCTAGTGTGACCTCAAGTATGCTACTGCATCCGACTCAGTTTCCCCACATGTGAAATGGGGATGATAGAAGTACTAGCCTCTGGGAACTGAGGCTTTTAGGAGACAATTTGCCAAGACACTCAGCAGAGTCTTGCTTTCCTCAGCATTCCGTGGGCACTCTGTAAGGCTCCCAAAGGAATGTATATGTTGATTTGTTTATCTGTGTGTGTGAGGTACGTGTGCAGGTGTGTATGCAAGGGTGTGTGTGAGGTACGTGTGTAAGCGTGTGTGCGGGTATGTATGTGCGCAGGGGTGTCTGTGCTGGCAGTATTGTAGCAGTGTTGTGTGCAGGTATGTATGTGCAGGTGGGTGTGTAGGTGTGTGTGCAAGGGTGTATGTGTAAGTGTATTGTCCAGGGGTGTGTAGAGGGGTGTGTGCAGGGATATATGTATAGGTGTGTGTGTGCAGGGGTATGTGTGCTTGCTTATGTAGGAGTGTGCATATGGCAAAACAGAGGTCAACCTTCAATGTTGTTTCTTAGGTTCCTTCCACCTTTTTTTTACAGGTTGTGCGCACACACATGAGTGCAGATACTCTTGGAGGCCAGAGGGCATCAGCACTCTGTGGAGCTGGGTTAGAGTTACTCATGACCTGCCTGGCATGAGTACTGGGAACTGAACTCAGGTCTCCTGAAGGAGCAGTACCACTTAGCCATCTTGCCAGCCCATCTCCGGCCCAATCCACCTTATGTTTTGAGACAAGGTCCCTTATAGGAGCCTGAGGTTCACTGGTTTTAGGCTGGCGAGTAAGCCCAGGGCTCTTCCTGTCTCTGACCCCCCCAGCAGTCATATGTAAGACCCACCCATTGCCATGCTCAGCTTTAGTGAGCAATGGGGACTAAGCTCAGGTCTTTTACCAAACATCATCTCCCCAGTCTCTGCTTTTATTAATTTGTTTAAAAATCTTTTATTAGCATTATTTTATTTTGTCTGAGTGGTTTGCATGCATGAGTATATGTGTATGGTGTACATGGCTGATGCTCACGGAGGTCAAAAGAGGGTAACAGATCCCCCGAGACTGGAGCACCTAGTGTGTGCTGGGAACCACACTTGGCTCCTTTGGAAGAACAGCCAGTGCTCTTAACCATTAAGCCATCCTTCCAGCTCCCACTTTAATTATTTCTTGCTGGTTGATACAGACTCACTTTGGAGCCAGGAATCAGATTCTTAAGTTGGGGGCTTGAAGATAGGGGCTGCTGCGTACAGAACCCCCTTTCTTCCCAGCATCTCCTCATGCCCTGTGAAGCCAAGTTCAGCCAGCTGCAGCTGGCCAACTTACGTACAGGCTGTCTGTTCTCAGCAAAACCCTTTCGAAGAAAAATGCAGGCAGGACCCAGCAGGTTGTGCATGACGGCGCAGTTCTGGGCCAGCATCAAGAGTGGTCCCGGGAGCTCGCTGCCAGCCGCCAGTCTCTCCTCGCTTGTCTGGACCACCTTGTAGCTGGTCTTCTCCTCCTGGCGCATCTTCAGCCAACACCAAGCAAATAAAAAGAGAGGTGAGGCGTCACCTCCCTGTTCATCTGGGCCCTCCCAGCCCTGGGCCTGGCTGTTGATTCTAGGAGATCCTTGAGAGTCACGTGGTGAAATTCTGAGAGCTTTAGCCTGTACAAGGGCGGTATATAATTGGTCCAACAGATGGAGGCTCCAGTCCTGGCTGAAATAGTTATCCTTGGAGAGCTAGATGTGATGCTTGAAGTTAGGTGCCCTCATGCATGGACACACACACACACACACACACACGTATACACAGGAAAACACACACTTGCGTGCATATGGTTCATAGAGTGAAGCAGAGGGAGGCTTCTACCCTAACCCAGAGTGTCACACAGAACCGTGTCCTTCCCACAAGTGTTCCTACTGTTTCAGCTCAACCCTCAGACCTACATCCTGTCTCCCAGATTTCTGATGAACTCAGACTCTGCCCCAGCTGGACTCCCCCCGCCCCCCCATCACCACTGGAAGGCCCAGAGGGTGAGCAGAGCTAGTCACACAGAGGGCAAACAGGCTCAGCAAGTCTGCTGACTAGAGGTCGCAAACATAGATGTCGTTGTTGACAAATGAGGCAGGTAGGCTGCGAATGGTGGGGGTGGGGGCAATGGGTGCTGTGTACCCACCCTAAAAGGACGGCTCTACTTCCTGCATTCCAGCCCACAGGTGTCAAATCTGGTTCCAAGCACCAGTGGTCCGACAAGACCCACCTGTACCCAGATTCCACCTGCTTGTGACGGCACGACTGGGCAGGCTTCCAGCAACTTCCCTTGCCTACCCTCCCTCTTTCCCTGGCCCCATGCCCAGGCTGGCTTGGCCTGCTTGACCTCTAGAGGCTGTGGCTGGGGCCTCGCCAGCTGACCGAATATAGCTGCGCTCTCAGGCCCCGGCCAGCCCTTCGTCCTCCCTGCAGATTCCCACAGTTATAAAAAGTCAGCACTGCTCCACGGACCCTCCCCTTAGGATAACAGCAGCATCCAGACATAACATATGGCTGGACCCAGGCTCCCAGCATGCCCAGTGCCTCTCAAGAATCCAGGCCCCAGCACTGTGCCCTACAGGGGACAGCCTCTCTTCAGTGTGGGAGTCAGTAGCAGAACATCCCCAAGGACAGGCGGGGTAGCTGGACTCCCAAGAGAACTGTCTGCCTGAGACACACAGAGCTGTATTCTCTCTGTCCCAACCAGCCCTCTTCTAACTAGCTGCCTCTAGCTGAGCAAAAGTCACATGGACTCTGGCAGCCTGGCCTGGAGGACCCTCCCTTGTCCTGTCCTCTCAGGCTTCTCCCTTAAGCCCTCCTCCAGAGGGGCTATTGATGGAGACTCAATCCCAACCCCTCCCCCCCCCCCCCCCCCCCCCCCCCCCCCCCCCCCCCCCCCCCCGCCAAACGCCCTAAGCCCCTTCCAGACCAAAGGAAGAGTGGTATTAACCTCAAAGGAGATGCTGCATCTCAGACCAAGGCCGGGGTAGTTGTAGGGAATATCTGAACACAAAGGATGTCAGGCAGACCAAGGCCCACTCTAGCTGGAATCTCTCTCCATCCGCTCACAGCCTGGAACCTATGCAGGAACTAGTAAAAAATAGAGTCTTTCCCTCTAAGAAAGGGTCCAAGAGAAGCCCGGGACTAGATGAGGGCGGGTGTGGGCTAACTCCAGGAAGCCATCGTATTGGAGGTGTTTGTGGAGAAGCAGACTTTCCGTCTCAGGCTGAATCTCACACATATTGGCTCAGGAGAAGCACAGTCCAAGAAGGAGGCGGTGGCAGGTGGTAAAGAACCCTAATGTGTTGGCTCCGGGCACCATCTTGGGAAAAGCTCTGGTCTGCCATTTGCCATGTGACCTCGCACAGCTCACGTCATCTCCCTGTGCCCCAGCATCCTCCACACCCTGGGGGCAATCATCTCTATCCACAAGGTCTCGTGAGCAACGAATGAGCTTCTGTCTACAAAGTGCTTTGTACAGTGTTTAGAACGCAGTAAAAGCCAAATAACCGAAGTTGCCGTAGTTACGGCAATGATGATGGTGACAATAGCGACGTTGGTAGAGCAAGTTAAGAGATGTTGGGTGCCAGAAGGCAGTGGGGAACATCTGTCAGTCAGCAAAGGCATTAGATGGATGGAGAAGAATTTGCTCCCCAAAAGAAGGAACCAGTGGTGGCGGGGAATTTCCACTGCATCTCTTGATTATAACTCGGCCTGGCACCAGGTTGCCCCAGGAGGCAGCCATTCTTCCCTAGCTGGTGATGATGGCACCTGACAGGCTGGTCCTGCCCAGTTCAGGGCCTGAAACAGGCTACCTATCACTGTGTCCAGCTCCCCAGCTTCCACTGAAGAAGCTGAGCCGGGGGCCTGGAACCAGGAGAGGCCAGCTCATCAGAGAACGTCAGGACCTCTGGCTCTGGAGCAACAAAAGCTGGCTGAGGTCACACAGGTCAAAACTCTCCCCTGCTCGTGGCCAAGGAGAGCTTGAAGAGTGTGTGCTGAATGAGATGGGAGGGGACATTGTGCTGCACTGATTAGGGAGTCGGACTCGATGATCACAGAGATCATATTTGAGAATTTATTAATAACACTTCTGGCAGTGGGAGAAGGAAAAAGCACGCATAAAATACTAGCTCTGACTTTACAAGGTACAGGCTCTAAATCCCAGCTCTGCTTGCTGGCAACTGAGTGACCTTGGAAACCCTTATCTCTGAATCCAGCTCCCTTCCTTGCAAACTAGCCCAGAGGACTATTTGGTGGAAAAGAGCGAGTGAGATGGCAGATGTCTGATATGTTGCAAATAAACCAGAAAAAGAAATAATTGCTAAGACTTAAGATCACGTGTCCAGTGGATCCAGAACCTCTCCAGGTGCACCGTGACTCGGTGGTAGAGGCTCAGGCCTTACATACACAAGGCTCTGGGGAATAAATGCTCTGCCTGGGTGGTAGCTCATGCTTATACTATATTTCCAACATATGGCAGGAAGATCTTGAGTTCCAGGCCAGTCTGGGCTACAGAGCAAGTTCTGGGCCAGCCTGGGCTACCACAGAGGCCTCACCTCAAAAACAAAACAAACAGCAAAAACAGAACCAAAATCCTGAAGGCAGTGGCGACCATCCCCATGGTCTCCACTTCTCTGCCCCACTGTTTGTCTCTGGTGGAGATGAAATCCTAACGTGTCTAGTACTATCCACTTGGCATCGTGCACAGCACACAGTCATTCTGAGGGTGACATATCAGGGACTGGCGTCATAAGATCTTTGAGTTTGAGGCCAGCCTGGTTTTTCTAGCGAGTTCTAGGCCAGTTACAGATACACAGTGAGATCTTGTCTAAAAAAAAAAAAAAAAAAGGAAAAAAAAAAAACAAGCAAAAAAGAAAAGAGTTAAGCATTAGGAGCCAGCTGTACCGGCTCACACCTGTAATCCCAATACGCGAGATGCCGAGATGTAGGCTCCGGTGTAAGCCCTTGTTTCTAAAAAGCAGAACAAAACGAAACAAAACAAAAAACCCCACCTTAGGCCTGGGGCATGTGTGAGGCTCTGGGTTTGATCCCCATTAATATACACACACTGGAAAATGTCGGTAGACTTTAGCAGTCCCAAGTGATTAGTAGAGAAAGGAACTAAGCCACAGAAAGTTAATTTGTCCAAGATCACATGAGCAGAAAGAGGAGACCTGTCTGGCAGGAGGCAGAGGAAAGAGCTTGTTCCTAAATCTATCTCCTCAAGCTTACGACCCTTTGTGTTGGTGTTCGCCTGGCAGCCTCTCTAATTCAGATCAGCTTCTGTCTCCCCAAATCACCTCCCTAAGAGGCAGAAGACTCCCCTTAAGAGAATGACAGACCCTGAGGCTGGGGACACACAACAGAACAGCAGCGCTCCGAGCAATCCAAGGAGCAGGGAAGATTAAACGGAATTTGATGTGAACAGCTTAGCCAAAGGAGACGACAGGCTAAAAAGCCCCAAGTGTCCTAAATCGAGAGGTCAGAACTCTAATGGAGAAGATGGGGTGGGACCCGCGTGAAGGCTCCATCCACCAATCCAAAACCTTACCTAAGTCACCTGACCCTCCGATCCCTGGCCCCCTCAATTGGCAATCATTTCTTATTTGGAAAATGAAAACACGGGAGGCAAATATCTTTATCAGTGCCGTCTTCTTTAACACGGGTCTATGGCCTGACTACGAAAGATTAACAATATAGGTGAGCCCCGACTGGAAGACACGCTGCAGATACGTCCCAGACCTTCCTAAAGACACCCTACGGTAGAAAGAACACTCGCTTTCCCAAAGGAATTCTGGCAAAAGAATCTTGTCACAGCGTAGAATGCAATAAATCCACCTAGGAAAGTGACACGCACGTAGGCTTCTGACCCACACATTTCTTGGGCACCGTGTTTCTCAAAAGAAGTCACCCTGGCTCTAGGACCTGGTCCTTTGACACTCTCACACCTGACTCAAGAATTATTGCGAGTAGAAGCAAAAGGAGAAATTTGTTTGGTTCATGGGGTCTCTTCAAACTCCAATTTTGACGGCTTAGAGAGTACCAGCAAGAAATACAGACCCCCTACGAGCCCTCAGGCCTGCTCCTGAAGGGTATCTGATTCTCTAAGACTCGCGGATGGCTATGCACTGACAGCCTAAGAATCCTCACCTTTCATGCTACAACCCAGAAGTCCCAAAGTCACAGGATTTTTTTCTTAGCTCTTGTGTAAATCCCAAATATGGCCTTCCCCGACTCTGTTACCCCTCCACTCCCCTACCCTTCAGCCTTAACTTTATTTAGTTCAGAGCCTGCCTAGGACATAAGAATCTGCTAAGAAGAGTACCTTGAAGTTGGAACAGGGACACAGTATTGGGCAGACACTCTTGGAAGAGTAGCGAGCATCATTAGGTACCCACCCACTCCATGCCCCCTGGTGCAGGCAGCAGGATGCCCCCAACCTTAGGGACTTGGGGGTTCCAAACATACCTTTCTAGAGAGGTTTCTTAATGGCGACTTGACGCAGTTGCCCATCCTACACTGATGCAGCCCCACTGGCGATCTCTGGGTCCATGAAGAAGGCGCCTGGGGGGGGGGGCAAGAGACCTCAGTCTGGGTCACTGCCAACCCTAGCGTCTCTGCCTGTGCCGCTCTTCCTCCAGGACAGAGATGAGCCTGTGCGCGCGTGCTCGTCTGCCTGCTCCTGCTGCTTTTTTTTTTTTTTTTCCGGGTGGTTTGTATGTGTATTTGTATATCTAGGTTTAACTTTCTTAAGGAGACAAAGGCAGAAGGGAAGGGTGCATGGCACCGAAAAGAGCCCCTGGGGAGTTGACGGCAGAGGGCACTGGCGCTGGGAAGCCTTTCGGATCGCCAACATCAGATTAGAGCATTAGAGTCTCTTCTCGGCTTCTCCCCTTCCCTCAGCCCCTCCTTTCCATGTCGCCAAATATGCAGGGAGATTGCCTTGGGGAGGGGGACCCAAGGTAGCAGCTGCAGCTGGGAATTAGGCCAGCCGAGCCAGAAGGGAAAGCTGGCTAGTTTGGGCCCCCAAAGCCAGTGTGCCTTGCAGCTTGCAAACACGTACACCACACACACCACACACATGCATGCACACACAGGACCCCAGGGAGATGGATGCCTCTTCTGCAGAGCAGTGAGCCGGACAAGCATGCTTCAGCAGTCACTGGCAGTTCCAGCTAGATGGGCATCTGGGTGGTTCTCAGTCGAGGGCCTGGGAGGTCTTCTGACGTCTCTATTACGCTCTGTTTTTCACACTTGCCTCGTCGTTGACCTGCGATGAGGCTCGGGGCTGGCGGTGCAGCTGAACCCACAGCTGTAGTTAGCTATTTCCTTCTGCTCTCTTTGCTCTGTGAAGGCTCCCTGACCCTTGGGGAGCCAAGATATGGGGAGGAGGAGCAGGATGGAGGAGGTCCTGGAACAGAGGACGTGACCAAGGTCTCTGGTCGCCCTCATTCTGTGCCTAATCCTGATTGAGGCTCTTTCGTTGGCGTGCAGAACAGGGAGGCTGTCTTTTTAAAATGGTCCTCGAAGTCCAACAGCTGGAGCTTTACAAATGACGGGATATTCCTTGTCCTTCCAAATTCTTGCTTTGGCAAGAAAATTCTTTCCAAGCCTCGAATGTCCTTGTTTGAGAGCTGCATTTGTAGCAGGTACCCAGAGATTCCTGTTTCCTTGTATCCAGCTTTTCCCCAGCAGGGGGTGCCAGAGACGGACCAGGACGTTGACCCACGCCCAGGCCCCTGATGCAATCACATACTTCAGCCCAGACTGCTTCCTCTCCGGGGGACTTTCGTCCTGTTTGGGTGTCTGGTTAGAAATCTCATTAGGAAGATGGCTGGGTACATTGCCCAGTGGGTGGCACAGACTCTGTCCTAGGAGGCTATAAAGTAGATCGCTGGCTGGTTCACCATGGCTGTGGTGCAGTTGCTGACCAGAGAATGGTTTAGCCAAGGCAGTTTCTTGATGCCTTGTTTGGGTCATACTCTTAGGAGGAGGGGAAAAGAGGGAGAGGCCACTCTCCAAGGACAAAAGGAGGAGCCTGCGTGGGACCAGCTAAGGGGCAGGAAAGAGGGTAAAGAAGGCACGGAGCTGGGAAGGGAAAAACAGACAGCTAACAGATGCAAAACAGCACGAAGGAGGAACTATTCTGACCCAGGGGTCAGGTTCAATGTCCTCCCATGAGCGAGAAAGGATCTGGGGTCTGAGGTTGAGACTCGGCTCTGCCTGTGATCGCCTTTCACTCCTGAGCTTCGGTTTCCTCCGTTAGAAAATGGGACTTTCCCTGTCTGGCTAATAAAGTGCATACAGGAAAGCCTGTGGTACATAATAGGCACCGATAAGTAATTATTCAAGTGGAAGAAGGAAGTATCGTTTGCCCAGCGTTTATGTGCCGGGCGCTGTGCTTGGCTCTGGGAACAATGAGGAGGAAGAGGAGTTTACATCCTCGCTGGTGGGCTAGCAGCAAGTGAGGAGCACAGTTATTTACCAATTTTAAGATAAATGCTAAGAAAGAGACCCACAAACTGATAATGACAGGGGAGAGCTGTAACTTAGTCTGTGGAGATCGGGAGAGGCTTGTAGACAGAATCTAAAAAGGAGACTTGGGCTATACCGGGTAATAGGGTTTCCTGTAAAACCTAGGAAACAGATTGTCCGCTCTGTGGCTCTGACTAGCCTCGAACTTGTGGAGGAGACTCCTGCCTCTGCCTCTCAGGTGCTGGGTTTGTGGTATTTATGTTGTTGGATTTTGTGGTTGTTTATTGTTGTTTGGGAGTGGATTCACAGAGAGTTTCTCTGTGAAACTGTCCTGGCTGTCCTGGAACTCACTCTGTAGGGCAGGCTGGCCTCAAACTCACAGAGATCCGCCTGCTTCTGCCTCCTGGGTGCTGGGATTAAAGGCGTGCGCCACCACCGCTCAACTTGTCTGTTCATTTTTAAAATTACGTCTATTGATCTGTGTGAGGAGAGGCAGTGTGTGGGAGCCAGAGGACAGCTTTTTGGAGTCAACTTTCTCTTTCTACCGTGAGGATCTTGAGTTTTGAACTCAGGCTGTTGCACTTGGTGGCACCTTTACCCGCGGAGACCCACCTTGGCCTGATTTCGCTAGGTAATTGGTTATGATCTTGAACCTGGATCCTCCTACTGTGTGCCCTCTCTCTGTGTGGGGTTAAGTCACACGCCATCACACTCAGCTATAAAGTCTTTCTGAAATGACAAACCTGCCGACCTAGCAGCAGGGCTTATGTTAGGCCTCAGGTCTAACTAAACTGAAAAGCATAGACTAAGACGGGTCCTCAGCCCTGACTGTTGGAACCTGCTCTGAAAATCCTGTGGGTGTAGGTGGCTCTCTGAGTGCGGAGAGCTGTCTACTCTGCTCCCTAGGGAACTCTAATCGATAGTCGGCATTAGGACTCACTGAGAGGGGCTGGAGGGACGGCTGAGACGTTAGGTGTACTTGCTGTTCTTGCAGAGGACCTGGGTTTGGTTCCCAGCACCCACAACCCTCTGTAACTCCAGGTTCAGGGAATCCAGTGTCCCTCTCTTGAGCTCTGAAGGCACTGGGCACACATGGGGTACACACACTTACACACAGGAAAAACACCCATACACATAAAATAAAAATAAATAAATCTTGCCAGGCAGTGGTGGTAGTGGCACACACCTTTAATCCCAGCACTAGGGAGGCAGAGGCAGGCGGATCTCTGTGAGTTCAAGGCCAGCCTGGTCTACAAGAGCTAGTTCCAGGCCAGGCTCCAAAGCTACAGAGAAACCCTGTCTCGAAAAACCAAAAAAATTAAATAATTTTTTTAAAAAAGGAAAGGAAAAAGATAAAAGACCACCGAAGAAGGGGTCAGAGATTGGAATGCAGAGGCAGGATGTCCTTCTGCAGGACCAGATTCTCACAGAACTTTTGCAGTCTCGGTCTCTTAGATACTCAGAGTGCCTCTCTCAGGGTTTTGCGGGTGGTAAATGAAGCAATACTCACACAAGGCCCCGACCACTGTCTTGGCACCTAAAAGCTGTCCCCTTCCTCTGCCTAGCATCTGTCTTAAAGGGCTAGGCACGGCAGCCACTCATTATCTTCTTAGCCCTGGTGATTTCTGCCCCCTGCAGGCCAGTCCCAGCCATAACAGCTGACAGGTGCTTGTCGACCTTGGGCAATGCCTCTGTCCTTGGAAACAGGAGACTGAAGGCAACAAAACCAATCAAATATTTAACCAATGCCCATTCTGGGGGTGCTCAGTGGGTCAAAGTGCTTACTGCTGAGCCCCACAACCCAAACTGGATTCCTGGGACCCATGTGGTGGAAGGAGAGGATCATCCTAAAGATGTCTTCTGGTCTATACACATACATGTGTGCACACATGCACACACATAGTACACACATATACATACATGCACAGTACATACACACAAATGCCTGCACATACACATGCACACATACACACGTATGCACACGTGCACAATAGCACACATACACATTTTATTTAAATCACTTTTGGTTTTTGTTCAGTCAGGGTTTCAGTATGTAGCTCTGGCTGACTTGGAACTCACTATGTAGACCAGGCTGGCCTCGAACTCATGGCGATCCACCTGCCTCTGCCTTCCAAGTGCAGAGATTAAAGGTGTGAACCATCACACTCGGCACACACGCATTTGAGGTAAATAAAAGTCCATTCTGCTTTGTGGTAAGAGTAGGGCTGAGACTAGTTTGAGATTTAAGGTCAGGGAGGAGCCTGGGGACCTAATCTGGGGTTTTAGAGCCTCCTTAAACTGAATTGGGCTGGACAGGAGGCAGGAGGCACCGATGGCTTGGCTTTCCCTAGAAAATACAGCATGGCTGAAGGTTGAGGGACTTTATTTGAGAAGCAAAGAACACTTTGTACCCCGTTTTGTTGTTGTTGTTTTGTTTTATTTTTTTTTATTCATTGAGAGCCCCTGGGCGTCTGGAGCCACACTTTGTACTCTGGAATAAAATAACAGGATCAGAGGGCTGAGAGGACGAGCTTATCACTGGTTATCCCTGATTAGGGGGAGGCTGACTCTAGGTCTTGATCAGATCCATCAGCTGCATATGAACTTGGGTGACAACCTAGTGCCAGGGCGCTCAGAGTGGAAGCTGGGGTACAGCAGGAAGGGTGCCCTGTGAACACTTCCAACACCTTCCCTTCCCAGCCAGCATGGTGCCACTCAGGTGGCAGGTGCTAGCATTTATTTACTACGTGACCTCTGCAAGCGCCGCCGTCTCCAGAGCCTGTGTCCTCATTTCTAGAATGGGGGATGATAACGCCAACCCTCCCAGGTTGCTGTGGAGATAATGAGGACAGACTGATAATTCTGTAGTAGGCTCTGGACTGAGGTCTTGAGTACCTCGGTGGTTGTCGGAAACAGCTGTAGGCAAATGCAGGCATCCAGACATGCAGAGGATGCTCATCCAACTGACTCAGCCACTTCTCTCATCCATGATTGATGCAAACCACAAGCTGACCTTCTCTTCCCTCATCTCCAGGCCCAGAGGAGAGCTGGTGGGGCAGGAATGAATATTGACAGGCCTTCAAGACACAGGTTTGGTGCGGTTGAACCCACAGGACCCAAACCATCATGACCCTGGCCTCCTCTTCACCCATACCACAGGAACTAGGAACCCTACGTAACCCGGACCAGGACATCAGTCACTCATTCATTCACGAACACTATGATCCTTTTACATGTTGTATATACACGGGGCTGGCCCCCAGGTAAAGAGGGGTGCTTCTCTAGGGTGGGGCCAGAGCTGTGGGTTTTATTTGCATTCGCCTCTTCTCGGGTTGAGTGCAAGAGCAGAAACCGTGTCTGTTCGTATCACAGTCTTCTGAGACCCAAAGCCCCACGTCCTGCTTACTCATTTGTCACACCACGTAGTCTGCCCGGACAGCTGGATGGCATGTCCTTGGCTGGCAGAACGAGGGACGGTTCCCTGGCATTGGGCTCAGAGCCCTTCCCTTTAAAGCCCTTCTCGCTCGGCATGGAGGCAGTGGCCCTTACACAGCACTTCTGCAGACAATGCTCTTTTAATGACTATTAATGAGAGCAGTCGCATTAATGCAGGCTGCTCTTTCGCCTGCACTCACTGTGAGCCAGGCCTCTGATAGCCTTAATTTTGTGTGAGCCTCGTCAGAGCCCTGCGAGGTACTTTTTCCTCAGTCTCATTTCTGGATGAAGAAACCAAGGCCATAGAGAGAAGGATGCCAAGGTCACAAATACACAGAGTGGCAGAGGCAGGATCGGAAACAAGGGCTTAACTCCCAGCCACCACCCCACACCCCAGCCTCAAAACCACACTATCCCCCTGCAGGCAGCAGATCTTAGCTCCCCAAGTGTGGGGAGTCTATCCGGACACCTCTAGTGTGCCTAATCCTGGCTCTCTCTGCTGCTGTAATGACAGAAAGAATGCATCCTGGGAGTTAACCACCATCACCAACAACGGTAACAAACACAGCCGCCGCCTCTGCTCTGCGCCACGCAACGGACTGCGCTCTACACACATGCCTGCGTAAATCATTCAACCCCCCCAGTTCTCCTCGAGACACTAGGATTGATTTCTATTTTTCAAGTAAATAAAAGCCTCACTGAAAGAAAGCAATTCATCTAAGTCCAAAAAGAAGGTAAAAAATAAAAACGTTAAGATAAGAGGCATGAACCCTAAGCAGAGCCATCTGAAAATGTCTATATTCAGGACCCCATTTTGCTTCCTCCCAGTCCCCACCCTGTCTCTAAGGACAGAAAGGTCAATGCAGAAAAGAGATGGCAAGGGAAGATAATCCCTTTATGTCGTAGGATACTGGGGACTCTGGCACAAAAACTCCAGGCTGGTGTTGCTGTCCACGATCACCTGGATGCCTTGGAGGTGTCACCAGGAAACTCAAATTGAATGTGCTGGGGTGGGGGTGGGGGGATTCTGCAGCTCCAAGAGGCCGGAGTCTCCAGAAGGAGGTAGTAAATATTTCATGGGACCTTCCAGCTCCTCCTGACTCAAGTGACCCCGTGACATTTCAGAACATGGGGCTGGAGAATAGTCTCCACTTAATGGCTGGGAAGTCGGAAGAACTGAGTAGCAGGTTGCTGAAGGGGTCTGAGTCCAGATAGGCCCATGCAGGCAAATTCTGCAAGAGTAAGGTCCTTTTTCCCAGATCACTGGCAGTGAATGAGCCCCCTCCAAACTGCTGTGCTATGGGCTCCAAAACAGCCCAAATCTTGGCTCTGTTTTCCACTGCTCCTTCCTAGTGTGCCACCAATGCCCGGGTGCGGGAGGTATTCAATGCCCGCAATCACCCACTAACAACGTAGCCTTTGGGTCACAACCCAGCCTAGACCCACAGATCAGTCCTAACGCGCTAAGGTTCCAAGCAACTGCAGTGAACATCGCTCCTCGGCATGGGGCCAGGCTAACTCTCTCAGGGCTCTGCAGCCGAACCTCTACTCCTGAGCACCGGTTCCAGTTCTCTCAGTGGACCGCTAACGAGGGCTCCCTGCAGGAACAAAGCCATGTGCTGCTGGCCCTGTCACACCGGCACAGCAGTCCCGTGCATCCCGAATCCATGCGCAGCTGCCTTCATGACAGAGCCCCACCTGCACAAGCCACTGCAGAGTAGTGTTTTGAAAAGAAACGAGCAGATCTGAGGCAAAACACACACGGCCTCCTTGTAGTGCTGACTCCACACAGCCAGCCGCGAGCTTGACGTGGTTTCTCTGCACTAGCAACCACCACAGGAACGCTTAGACCCCTGCGTCTGAAACCACGCCGGCATTCTGATCCCACCTCTGCAGAACTAACGGCCACGAGTTCCATTCAATTACGGACTCCGAACCAGAGGAAATCGTGGCTTTGCTCAGAAGTTCACAGGTTCCTGGGGCACAAT